TTTTTTAAATATTGTTAATTTCGAAATCACTCCCATTTCTATTAGCCCACAGCCACAGGAACACAAAAACATTGGAACCTGTGCTATTCCATGTGCTCCTCATTCTATGTAGGCTTCTCCTGCAAGATAACCTGTTAATTTCAGGGTAACAAAAATCCACACCCTACAAAAGACACACACCATGTCCCTCTATCTCAACTTGCTACTTTCCAAACTCTGTATCACACCATGTTAGACCAACCAAAAAGGCTGTCATTAGCATTTAGGCAAGCTATTCTCAGGCTTGCATTTTTTTCTAATCGCCCCTGCATTTAACCTGAAGCATGAGGTCAATTTTGGCTTCACATTTGACTAGAAACGCCTCCTCATTAGGTCAATTTCTAAAAACTAAATCGTTCGGTTGGCAATGACCACTGGATGTAAAGTCTAATGCACGTTTCTTCCCAAAGATTTCACCTTCATCAAGCTCAATAGTCCAATTTAACATCGGCATTTATTTTTGGCAGTTTTTAAACTCAATAACAAAGGAATGTTGGAATCAACCACATCAATTTCCAAAACAAACTGATGATCAAAAAAGAAAACAACTTAAAGATTCACACAGTGACGAATTTTCTATCAAAATCGTTCTCTGTTTACTTCTTATAAAATTGACGGTTAACCGATTATCTCAAATCAGACCCGGTTACACTAACCAGCAATAACGTATGGGCCATGCAAACATTTCATAGACAGCAAGCATTTACCCACTCCAAAATTCAAACATTTGGTTTATTTAATTTCCCTGTCAGTTTTCAGGGAATGTGCTAATAAAAGTTTCAAATGAGTGTTTGCCACTAACAGTGTTTGAACAAGCTGTACTGCTCTAATTTTTCTATTTGATACTTTCAATGTTTCAAGTTGTTGTCTTCAGACAGAAAACAATGTAGTTGTACAATGGTTTATTTAGGAAAGTTGTTGTCTTCAAACAAAGATAGCTTGCCAGGCAAGGTAATATACGTCCACTGGCAGTTTTGATTTTGAATAAAAATATTTAGCAGTACAGTAACAATCACCAGTATGAAATATTCAACCTTCAGTCATACACTTTTTTTGAACTCTTTAGGGCGATACTGAATAATATTGAGAATGAGTTATTGCCCTTGTTCTTGAAATCGTGTTCAATCTTTAGCTCGTAACAACTCTAGAAGACAAATATTCCATCTTCAGTGCGGTATTGAATAATAAAACCAATTTTGTCAAATCCGGCAAGAATCATGCCTTTTAGAGTTTTTACGAGCTACAAATTGAACGAGTTTTCAAAAACAAGGGCAATAACTCATACTAAATATTTTTCGATTTTTCTGATTTTCAATAGGTTTTATCCTTGGGTGATAACAAACACTCAAGCCAAGTTTCGTTAAAATCCGTCAAGAATTGTGTCTTCTAGAGTGTTTACAAGCTAAAAATTGAACGAGTTTTCAAGAACAAGGGCAATAACTTATACTCAATATTTTTCGATACTTCTGATTTTCGATAGGGTTTATCCTTGGGTGATTACAAACACTCGCACCAAGTTTTATCAAAATCCATCGAGAATTGTGCCATCTAGAGTGTTTACAAGCTAAAATTGAACGCGTTTTCAAGAACAATGGCAATAACTCATACTTATTATTTTTCAATCTTTCTGATTTTAAATAGGGTGTATCCTCGGGTAAAAACAAACACTCACACCAAGTTTCATCAAAATTCGTCATGAATTGCACATTCTAGAATGTTTACGAGCGTTTCAAGAACAAGGGCAATAACTCATACTAAATATTTTTCGATTTTTCTGATTTTCAATAGGGTTCATCCTTGGGTGATAACAAACAACTATACCAAGTTTCGTCGAAATCAGTCAAGAATTGTGCCTTGTAGAGTGTTTACGAGCAATTGTGGACGGACAGACGGACAGGGATGACGGCAATATACGCCCCCCATTTCATATAAAAATCAATGTATTTGGTTTATTTAGGAAAGTTGTTGTCTTCAGACAGAAAGCAATGTATTTGTACAATGGTTTATTTAAAAAAAGTTGTTGTCTTCAGTCAGAAAGCAATGTATTTGTACAATGGTTTATTTAGGAAAGTTGTTGTCTTCAGACAGAAAGCAATGTATTTGTACAGTGGTTTATTCAGGATCTCGTTGTCTGTATTGGTATTAGGGAGCCGCGGCGGCTCCGTGAGTTAGACGCTTGCTCGCTAACCTGAAGGTCCAGGGTTCAATCCGGCCAGAGGTCGAGATAATACCTTCGAATTTTGCAACCCCGTTTCCGCCTGTCAATGATGCAGGTAAGAGGGGCTGACATGGAAAAAGCCGTTCGGATGGGACAATAAACCGAGGCCTCATTTGTTACAGGCTGTGCACGTTAAAGATCCCTTGACAGTTGGAAATCGAAAAAGAGCAGGCTAATGCCGCTGTCCTGGCAAAATTTCCCTCATCGCAACCTGCATGGCGTTGCCCGTCTTCATTAGCCCACATGGTCTTCAGAAAGAAAACAATGTATTTATACAATGGTGTATTTAGGATCTTGTTTTCTGCATTGGTATCATTTTTTTTGCTATTTTCTATAAGTTTAGGGACAAGGCGGTTGATTTGAGTGTTGAATATATATAAATAGTTTTAAAAGTACTAGAAATGTATGAAAATCAAATAATTCCTTCAAAGATATCTCAAACTAGGAATTTCTTATCTTATTTCTATAGATGTCTTGAAGATCTCATTAATACTATAAACATATCAAGTTTAGTGATATTGGGTCATATGATTGTAGACAGATATACATTAACCTTAAGCCTTTATCTTCAGATACAAATAAAATCTTAAGGATTAATGTGTTAAAAATCCAGAGATAGGCATCAGAAATTTAATTAAGCAATTTAAAGATTAGAATACAACATGGATATAAAGTGAAAAATTCTTAGTTTATTTCATTAACAATTGTTATAGTTATTTGATTATAGTTGTGAAGAAGATACTTTAATACCAAAATAACAAGGTAAGTTATATAGTTTCTATCTAAAATACTTAATGTATCATGATGAATTGAGAGTAAATTATTATATTATTTATTATCAATAAATACTATATACAAATATATAGTTGATATAATATAAAGTGAGAATCCCCTGACTTGATAGTGATAACTTTCACATCAACTATTGTAACTGGAGATCAAAATTAACAAAGTTTTTCAAATTCAATTTAAAAGGCATTATCTTCAATCTAAGAATTAATATTATCATTAAAAGTACAAGTACACCATTTTTTTGACCAATCATACTTCAGTCACAGAAACAGGACTATTTAGCTAAGCCAATCAGTAATAGTGTTCACAGCCCATTGCAAAACTTGAGCCATCAAATCCATGTGTGTCCAGAATCATCTGCATTTGAATCTTAAGAAGACAAGTCGTCTTTTCTTGAGAAACTGCCAACTAGTTTGAGACATTTTTGAAGGAATTATGCGATTTTCATACATTTCTAGTACTTCTGAAGAATATCTACATATATTCAACACACAAAACATCCCCCTTCCCCCCTACTCCCACTACCTGTCCCTTTAAACTTATATTCAAGACTTAAATCAATCTCACTGTCCCTTTAAAGCATTATCCTGTAAAGTATAGAATTTATAATCAAATCAGGAAGTGAATCCGAAATTGTAGAATTATCAGAATTCTCTGGGTCGTTTCCCATCCATCCTGTTTTGTTCACTGTGGCCTAGAGGTGGTAAAAATGGCTGCTGGGAACATAGTGTCAACCTAGCATTAATTTCAGCATTCAGCCATTTTATTTTAATAATTTTGTTTTAACAGATCTACATTTCAATATTTTTCTTTTATTTTCAGATGAAGTCTACAATTTTATCTATCTTACTATTTTTGGTCATCATGAATATATGTTGGACACTAGTGGTGTGTTCATCAGAATCAGGGTCTGAATCTATGGAAAGCAGTGGAGATGATTCCAGTCAACTAGTAGCAACTACAGACATCTTAAGTGAATAAATAATAAGATAGAGAGCATGGTGTCAATTTCTATATAAAAATTAAACCACATTTCTTTTATATTCACAAAACTTTGTTCAGAGTAACTGTTTATTTTGTCTTGATAACTTATATTCCTTGAAATTGTGAATACTGATAATTCAAGAATTTTAAAAAAATACTTCTGATGTTATAAAATGTTGTTGACTTTGTTTCTTTTCTGTAAATATTGTTACTTTTAATTAATTGATTGTATAAAATATTGTTAATTTGGAAACCTTGTGTTGGTGTTGAATTGGAAAACCTTTTTCAAATATTGTCAATTGGGAATCTTTTATTAAATAGTGTTATATTGGAAACATTGTCAAATATTGTTCATTTGGAATTCTGTATCAAATATTGTTATTTTGGGAACATGTATAAAATTTTTTTAATTTGGAAATTTTTATTAAATGGTGCTACTTTGGAAATCTTTGTCAAATGTTGTTCATTTGGAATCTTGTATCAAATATTGTTATTTTGGGACCATTATATAGAATTTTAAATTTGGAAACATTTTTCAAAATTGTAAATTTGGAAACCATTATCAAAAATCGCAAATTTGGAAACCTTCATCCAATCAAAAAATATAACTGAATTCAAACTAAATTTCAATAAATTTGTACAACTGTAAGGAAAAAGCTTGCCAAATAGAACAATTTGAATATTTTTATAAACAAAATTTAAGAGCTGGCAATTTTCAAAATTATCTAAGTTGAAACTGACAATCATTTTGTTTTTAGCTACAAATAGAAATTAGAGCACAGCAATATGTGGTACAGAACTGAGCATTAGGACTCAGAATTTAATATCCTACAGAAAGTCCTTATTATACTTCTGTTAGTCTTCATAGCAGGATTGAAGAATTTTGACAAAGATGCCATGCCCGCGAACTACTTCAATTTAAAAATTGGATGTTGGATGGTGGAAGTTTATATGAAGAATAACTTACCTAGCTACTAGTGGTGAGAGTTCATTTAAATCCTCTATAGTTACAGGTCTGAAAGTAATATTATGTACATGTATTTGAAAACAATCCAACTAAAGACAGTGACGTAACTATAACAAAAAGTTATCCACAATAAAAAATCTTTAAAGGAATTGTAATGGTGTTTTGTAATTGTTCTAAGCGTATCTAAGGCACTGCTAGCATTAACTAAACGTTAGTCTAACGTCGTTAGATGATGTCACTTATCACAAAATATGCTATATCACATTGCAATTAGAATAGCAGGAACCACAGAAACTGGAATGGTGCAAATTGATGCTATCTTTGTCCCCGATACACATACATAATTTAGAAAATCGCTTTACAATCCCTTTAAGATTTTTAGGGTTTAATCCCAATTTAATGTAGATATTTTTAGAACTGCGATATCCATATAATATATTGTGTTATGCCATTTCATCTAGACTATCATATAGTATGATCTATCTATCGCTGCAGACATTGTCATAAATTGACAAGGTTCTAATAAATTCCTTGAAATCAAATTGAACTAAAATGATACTTGTGAAAGGCCCAAGCGGTTTAATAAATATTATATTACTGACCTTTTAAGTAATTTTTTATACAAGGCTAGTGGAAAAGGTAGATTGATGATAGTAAAATTATAGATAGCTAATCCACATAATATACCAATCAGATGAAACATGTCATTCTCTTCAAATGTCTAAAATATAACATTATAAACATTGCTATAAGCTCCTTTTATATAACTTATCGTAACAAATGAACAAATGCTTATGTGCGCAACACCATAAAAATAAATCGTGATCACTGAAATATCACAGAGATGAGGCATGTCACAAAGATTTTAAAACAGTTTTACCAACAATTAAAAATCAAAACACCACCAATAATGCTTGAAATCAGAGATTTACAGCTTCAAAACCAATTTCCTCATATGTTGTAATTGCTTCTACTCTTTTTAATGGGAGCCGCGGTGGCTCAGTGAGTTAAGACTTCAATCCTGGCATAGGTCGAGATAATACCTTCGGATTTTTCAACCTGGTTTCCCCCTGTCAGTGATGCAGGTAAGAGGGGCTGACATGGAAAAAGCGTTTAGTCGTGCGGATGGGACAATAAACCGAGGCCCCGTATGCTACAGGCTGTGCGCAATAAAGATCCCTAGACAGTTTGAAATCGAAAAAGAGCAAGCTAATGCCGCTGTCCTGGCAAAATTTCCTTCATTGTACCCTGCATGGCACTGCCCGTCTTCATTAGCCCACATGGTGCAGAAAAGTAGGACGTAAAATTATAATATTTATAATATGTTCATAAAAATTAAATCATCAAAATCTAGGTTGTTATTCATGTAAATATGGTTCAATCTACAATCAAAATTATAATTCAAAACATTACCTGTGGACTAAACCATTTTAATCCAGACTCTTCATAAAACTTAAACATTCCATATTTAGTATCCATTACTTCTCTTAATAGTAACATAAAAAATTCCTATACAATGGAAATCATATCAAAATGAATAAAAATTTAACTTTGACAAATCAAAGCAGATTACCAGAAAATCTGTCTATTTTTTTTGACTGTGTTAGTAAGTTAATATCTCCAAATGTTCATTACTGAACCACAAAATAAACCTTGCACTGTAAAGCCATCACTATAAACCTGATCAACAGTGAGAAAAGGCCCTTAAAATTTGTGAAGGTGAAATTCATCTGAAAGTATTATTTAAGGTGCGGGCACATGAATGGTCTTGGTCGTCAATTTTCATTACTGACAAGAGTCGTCAAAAGTTTCATCGACAGCCTGCAGGCACACAAGGAGACAAAATATCTCCAATCGGTCGTTTTCCACTATGTCAATAATCACATGCTGATAATGCTATTGAAAAGATAATGAATCTGATTGGATGATGATGGTCTGTCTTGTAGACGATAAAAATATCTGAGACAATTATCAAACTTGTTTTATATGATAAATCCTGTTGGCGACACAATAATTCTTCTCTAACGAAAATTGCATTTCTATGAATAAAGCCATATTATTTCAAAATCACACATGGAAGAAATAATCATCTACAGCGCAAAGTTTCTTCTATGGTTAGATATACTTCATAGGATTAAAACAAATAAAAACCATCATGGAACATAGGGAATCAAAGTATTAACTTGAGAAGTTACAAATATATGATCTTAAAAGAATATCATTTTCTGAAAATACTTATATTTGCTTTACCAGTTGATAGAGATTAAATACAGCAGTATGTATCACTTTACAGAATTAGAAGCTGACCTATGGTTCCCAATACAATTAAAGTTTAGATTGTCATGACTGTTCTTCACTAGCTAATAGTTGTATTTAAACAAATTCCATTCTTTCGTTATTTTAATTGTGAAAAGTACTGGTAGCATGTAGAGCAAATATTAATATTATGTTATAAAATTACTAAAGCTAAGATTCTATATACGCATTATGCGGATCCGTCATGCGTCATCCATCATGTGTTAAAAATCGAAATGGTTGGTTTAAGAGGGTATGATTCCATATATGCGGAAGTGGTATCCATCAAATGGTCTCAGTCATACGTCAAAAAACAAAATCGCCGGGTGTAGTGATTTTTGACGCATCCAGATGCCATTCCACGCGGAGATCTCCCAAATGTGACGTATTTTGTGGGGATTCTCTGTCTTTTTTATGCACCAAAGCATCCATCTGTCTGTGTTTAACGCACATATGGCATCATATTTGATGAATGACGCATCTGCATGACATGTATATGGAATCTTAGCTTAACACTATAAAGATAGGAAAAGAAATGAAATGCTATTAGTATGAAGTTAAACATGCACCAAATATAACCTAATAATGGAGAGAATCTAAAACTTTTATGTTGAATATGACCAATATGATAAACTATCTAGATATTAAAGGTATATATGTAGTAACTAGTAATTGTCTAATGGATTGCTTTATCACCTGATTAAGATCAAACTTATACCAGATTCTTGTAAAATTAAACCTACAGGCAAAGAGTTTGGAAATCTGTGTAGTTGAAAAGTGTTGCAGATGAGTAAATATTTAACAACAATATCCCTTTAATTTGTTTAAAGAAATTTTTAAAGGGACAGATTCCCATTTTAAGGAGTTGATTTGGATATATGTAGTCTTCAGAAGTATTAAAATTGCATAATTCCTTTAAAAATAACTCAAACTGTGATATAACTTTCTATTTCTATACAATATGGCAGTGTCTCAAGAAATGACGAATCATCGTTTTAACAGGGATAATTCTGGACTCATATGGATTTGAAAGCTCAAATTTCAATGTTGAGCTGTGTACACTATTTCTGATTAGCTTAGCTAAAAAATTCCGTTTCTGAGACAAACAGATAGCGAATGTGTCCCTTTAAACATTTTAAAACCTGGTAGATATTGCTGTCATAGTAGTCTACAAAATTTATCATATATATCTTCAACTATAGACCCATAATCAAACAACCATCAACATGCAAATTAGTCGAAACTGAACATGGGTTATATTTTGATCATTCTAAGTAGAAAACAGATCAAACCTTGCGAACACCCCCCTCATCTACAGCTTCTTCACCTATAAAAACTACCTGAAAAAATGAGTAGCAGAAGTGATTGGAGTGTTGATGAGATTTGAAATGAAGATCTATATAATGATTACCTTCTTCACTCCACCAGCATCTATTGCATCCTCTGTCTTAAATATTACCTGAAAATCATTGTCACATTTATAGCTTCTTCTTCCAACTTCCTAACTTATCTTAATATCATAATTTTGATTAGTATTCCCTTATGAATTAAAGATAGCTTGCCAGCCAAGGTAACATAGGCCCAGCAGTTGAGAGTATAAAACTTATATATCTTAGCAATCCATAATGTATATTTCAAATTTGCCACTTCAATCAAAAAAAATAAAAGAATTAAATTGTATATGAATGTTAATAACGTTGAGAGACCAGGCGTCAATTTAGATTGAAACTTTTTAGTTTTGGCTAATCAAGTTAAAATTTGATTCGCATTTCATAAGATTTCAGAACAATCTAGTATGTTCGAGTATTAGACCTTCAAAAAGATCTTGCCAATGATGAAAGTGCCATTAGTTCCTTATGGTAATAGAGTTTCATCATTTTCTAGATTTGGCAAAAAATTCTTACATAAGACCTTTGCAGGGGTGGCATCATAAAACACTTAGTTTTAGTAGAATTGCTAGAAGCACAGACGTCTAATTGAAAATTTGAATGGTGAAAATTGATGCTATCAGTGTCCTTGATACACATAAAAAATTTAGAAAACTTCTTTACAATCTCTGTAAGGACATGCCAATGTATCTGTTGGTGATATCATGAAGTTTGGTGATTTTCACCGTTACAACCTTGTGAAAAGCGTGTGTACAAATTGACATAATTTTCACCTGATATCATCAAATTATTTTGGGGCTATAATACAATTCAGTGACATTGTCACTTATTACAGCTTCCCAATAAAATACACTGACTTTACCATTCAATAATTACCACACAATAACTATAATAATATATGTTACCTTCAGTGGTTTTTTAAGATCAGCACTAGTATGTTTGCTGAGTTGCTGTAATGTTTCATGGACTATATTTTCTCTGGTAACATATAAAACAAGACATGGATTGATAGGATCTATTGGCATACGATTTAATAAGGTATTAAAATTAAACCTGGTAACTTCATCTATTGCAGACTGAAATGATAACAAAGTTTCAGATATGATATACATGTAATAAACCTACAATCTAGTTGTCTATATACATATCTATTTGTTTTGCCAGTTGATATAGCTCAATTACAGATATCCATAGTATTGTTTTGACATCATAGTACATGTTCTGATAGACACATAGCAAATAAGGCTTTTTCAGTAGGTACAAAGCTGTAATCTTTGAGCAAAGAACAGTTTCTTTCAAATAAGCATGTTCGATTAACAAAGCATAGGATAAGATTTACAAATAGACTGAATTTCGATTAAAAGGGATTGTTAACAGGTTTTTCTAAATTTTTTATGTGTATCGGGTACAATGAGAGCCATATCAATTTTCAATCAGACGTCTGTGGTTGTAGCAATTCTACTTGTGTTTGATGATGTCACCCTCGCAAAGACCTTATGTGATACAAGCAAGTTTTGTGGAGGTGACTTCATAAAATACTTAGTTTTTGTGGAATTGCAGGAACAAGACGTCTGATTGAAAATTGGAATGGTACAAATTGATGCTATCTGTGAGTTGATAAACATACAAAATTTAGAAATCCTCTTTACAATCCCTATGTTATGCTCAGTTCACACAAACGGCGCTTTGATGGCGCTTTAAAGCGGCGTACAAAGCGGTACCAAAGCGTAAAAAAGCTCGACTAAAGTGCCAGGGTCGTAATAGATCGTTGGAAAGCTTTGAGCAAAGCTGGATATTCAGCAAGAGCGCCAAAAATTTTTAAAATTTTGGGCGTTCTGTCACGAATTGATTAAAGCGCCGAGAACGTATCAAAGCTTAACAAAGCGTAACAAAGTTCAGCAAAGCTTGACTCAAAGCGTAGGAAAGCTTAACAGAGCTTTATTCAAATCGGGGACCCCAGTCTTCACGGTCTGTCACCACTTGATCAAAAGCGGCATGAAATCGGCGATCTCGAAATTTTCCAATGCGTAACAGAGCTTAACAATGCACACCAGAGCTTGATAATCGTATCAGAGTGTGATTTAAAGCATCATAACCGCATCAAAGCTTAATAAGTTAATCAAAGCGTGATTTAAAGCGTAACAAGACCTGATCAAATCGGGAAATAATTCGTCCCCAAAGCGTAACCAATTCGTATCAGAGCTTATCAGAGCGTAACATTACTTAGGAGATCGTGATATTTTTGGAAAAGTAAACAAAAAATGATGGCGCTTTGCTCGCCGATTTAAAGCGCGGCATTCGCCGTTGATGTGAACTAGGCACTAGAAAACTTATATCAAAATTTGACTATACCTGCATTTGCATCATTGCATCAGTATGTAACAACATACTCTTAGCAGCAGCATCAAATAAGAATGGATAATTACAGTAGTGTAATTCCTAAACGAAAAAATACAGATATATCATATGATATACTGAAAATAACTTATGGTGCAGGCATACAAACAGTCTTGGTCAATGTTTATTATTGCCAACTCGAGCCTTGACAAGACTTCCACCATACGACTGAGGGTACAGTTGTTTTCCATTATGTCGATAATCACGTGCAGATCATGCAATTGAAATGAAAATGAATTCGATTGGATGATGACACTCTGTCTTGCAGACGTGAACAATCGGCAGCAAATATCAAACTGGTTTGATGTAATAAATCCTGTAAACGCGATAATATTCTCATGGAAGGGCGGGTAAATTTGACATTTAACTCAAAATTTTGGAAAAAAAATCAATCGTACCTGAGATTTATGATATGAGCGTTGAACCCAGCTAACATAGTCCACTTTCACATTTACTTTATTTTTTAATATAGAAATGTAGAACTGATGATAAGGTATGATTTGACCATTCTGTTCATTAACCTGAAATAACCAACATTATAGAAATGTAAAACTGACGATAAGGTATGATTTGTCCATTCTGTTCATTAACCTGAAATAACCAACATTATAGAAATGTAAAACTGATGATAAGGTATGATTTGTCCATTCTGTTCATTAACCTGAAATAACCAACATTATATAGAAATGTAAAACTGATGATAAGGTATGATTTGTCCATTCTGTTCATTAACCTGAAATAACCAACATTATATAGAAATGTAAAACTGATGATAAGGTATGATTTGTCCATTCTGTTCATTAACCTGAAATAACCAACATTATATAGAAATGTAAAACTGGTGATAAGGTATAATTTGTCCATTCTGTTCATTAACCTGAAATAACCAACATTATAGAAATGTAAAACTGATGATAAGGTATAATTTGTCCATTCTGTTCATTAACCTGAAATAACCAACAATATATAGAAATGTAAAACTGATGATAAGGTATGATTTGTCCATTCTGTTCATTAACCTGAAATAACCAACATTATATAGTAATGTAAAACTGATAAGGTATAATTTGTCCATTCTGTTCGTTAACCTGAAATAACCAACATTATATAGAAATGTAAAACTGATGATAAGGTATAATTTGTCCATTCTGTTCATTAACCTGAAATAACCAACATATATAGAAATGTAAAACTGATGATAAGGTATAATTTGTCCATTCTGTTCATTAACCTGAAATAACCAACATTATAGAAATGTAAAACTGATGATAAGGTATAATTTGTCCATTCTGTTCATTAACCTGAAATAACCAACATTATATAGAAATGTAAAACTGATGATTAATTATGATTATAAAAAACAAAACAAAAAAAAAACACCTCAAAAACAGAGATGCTTTTAAAAAAAAGAGATAATTAAAATTTATCTAAAACTGAATTCCCACTTACATTGTTCAACTTTTTCAGAGTTTCCATGGATACTATTAAGCCACGTTTCCTTTTATTGGCCTGAAATAAAAATGATTAAAACTGCACTTTTCTTGGTAACCTTTATTATACACTTAAGATTTTTGAAAAATTTCATCTGGAATGATATTTATGTAGGTAGATATTGAATTGGAACTGCCTTCAGTCGTAGCATATCATCCAACTGAGTCATCTTTAAATTACTTGATCAATTCATAACACAGGTATCACAAAACATAAATGAATATAATGTTTTTTAATTATGGCTTAGTTTGGACCCAATGTTACAAAAAGAAACTTTTCTCTAGATAAATATAGTTTTAACACTAAAATATAACAACCTTTTCATTATAGTTGAATTACAAAGCTATATACAAGTACTATGAACAATCTTTTAGCAAAGGCAATTATATAATAAGATTGTAAAAAACACAACTATATTTTACACGGATAACTCTTTAGATTCACAATTAAGGATACTTTCTACCAGCTGGTCCTTGACTTGGCATTGATCTTTTCTGGATTATCCATACCCATTAACAATGGGTTCAACTGGAATCATGACTGAAGATGACTTATTCAGACTTATTATTCACACCGATCAAGATTAGAACCCACAGACACCATCAAATTAGATTTTGTTTGTAAGTAAATGCCATAATGTAAAGAACAAATGCTCTAACCAATGTGCTATAGAACCTAAAGAAAAGAAATGAAACTCACCTCAAATAATACTGGTGTATCTGGTAATTGTAATATAAATTCTACACACTGTTTATATATCTAAATACAACCAAGTTATATACAGAAATAAAGGCTTCATAATTCAGAAAATACAAAAAAAACACTCAATGCTTTAATAGCTGATAAAGATTATTTGTAGCACTTTCAAGAATCAAAATCTGGTTAGTCTCCAATAAAAATAACATGCATCCAGGAACAAGAGCATGAGAAAGCCTTCATAATGATCTGCATATTTAAAAGAATGCTGAATTCTCAATATAAAAAGAGCTGTGAAAAGGAAGAATTGAGCTCTATTAGCTGTCAAAATTTGCAAACTGGAACACTTACATATACAATTCTGTTAAAAGATGCAGGAGTAAATGATGACCACCATATATCTATAACATAATGTTAAAGTAACATTTCAACTAGAAAGGTTCCAAATTTGTTCTTAATACTGGTTGTTTGATGCACTGAATCATATGTATCCTTCAAAGTGCTCAAAGTTTAAATGTTCAGAAACAAGGGCCTTAAGCCTCAATACCAACTGCTCAAACTACAACATGAATGCTCTTTGAGACACTACCATATATAGAAATGAAAGCTATAGAAATAGGAAATACCTAGTTTAGATATTTTTGAAGGAATTTTGTGATTTCTAGTACTACTGAATTGACATATTATATTAAAGACTCAAATCAACCCCCCAAAATGGCGCATTGGTGGTCCCTTTAAGAAAGTCAGGAATGATGAATAGTTTTTTTTTTTGGAAATGAAATGAAATGAATGGAGTTTTTACGTCCTACTTTTCTGCACCATGTGGGCTAATGAAGACGGGCAACGCCATGTAGGGTGCGATGAGGAAACTGTCGAGGGATCTTTAACGTGCACAGCCTGTAGCACACAGGGCCTCGGTTTATTGTCCCATCCGAACGACTAGACGCTTTTTCCATGTCAGCCCCTCTTAACTGCATCACTGACAGGGGGAAACCGGGTTGAAAAATATTATAAAAGTATTATCTCGACCTATGCCGGGATTGAACCCTGGACCCTCAGATTAGCAAGCAAGCGTCTAACTCACTGAGCCACACCGGCTCTCTTTGTATTTCTGAAGAGCAGTATCTCAAAGAACTCAAGACAAAGCAAAAGGATCCAAATCAGAATGTATCAGCTTTTAATTATTAAAATCAAATTAAATTATCTTTCCTTGGGGTAGTTTATTTTATATAGAAACATAGATAAGAAAGATATGCTATGACATGACATGATATGTTACAAAAAGTCCAATCCAATTGATACGATCCAGAGGTGAAGTTCCAAAAACTACAATCCAACTGATACGATCCAGTGGTGAAGTTCCAAAAACTACAATCCAACTGATACGATTCAGTGGTGAAGTTCCAAAAACTACAATCCAACTGATATGATCCAGTGGTGAAGTTCCAAAGATTATAACCCAACTGATACGATCAAGTGGTGAAGTTTCAAATAGTACAATCCAACTGATACGATCCAGTGGTGAAGTTCTAAAGATTACAATCCAACTGATATGTTCCAGTGGTGAAGTTCCAAAAACTACAATCAAACTGATATGTTCCAGTAGTGAAGTTCCAAAAACTACAATCCAACTGATACGATCCAGTGGTGAAGTTCTGAAGATTACAATCCAACTGATACGATCCAGTGGTGAAGTTCCAAAGGCTACAATCCAACTGATACAATCTAGTGGTGAAGTTCTAAAGATTACAATCCAACTGATACGATCCAGTGGTGAAGTTCCAAAAACTACAATCCAACTGATATGATCCAGTGGTGAAGTTTCAAAAACTACAATCCAACTGATACGATCCAGTGGTGAAGTTTCAAAAACTACAATCCAACTGATACGATCCAGTGGTGAAGTTCCAAAAACTACAATCCAACTGATATGATCCAGTGGTGAAGTTCCAAAGACTACAATCCAACTGATATGATCCAGTGGTGAAGTTCTAAAGATTACAATCCAACTGATACGATCCAGTGGTGAGTTTCAAAAACTACAATCCAACTGATACGATCCAATGGTGAAGTTTCAAAAACTACAATCCAACTGATACGATCCAGTGGTGAAGTTCCAAATAGTACAATCCAACTGATACGATCCAGTGGTGAAGTTTCAAAAACTACAATCCAACTGATACGATCCAGTGGTGAAGTTCCAAATAGTACAATCCAACTGATACGATCCAGTGGTGAAGTTCCAAATAGTACAATTCAACTGATACGATCCAGTGGTGAAGTTTCAAAAACTACAATCCAACTGATATGATCCAGTGGTGAAGTTTCAAAAACTACAATCCAACTGATATGATCCAGTGGTGAAGTTTCAAAAACTACAATCCAACTGATATGTTCCAGTAGTGAAGTTTCAAAAACTACAATCCAACTGATATGATCCAGTGGTGAAGTTTCAAAAACTACAATCCAACTGATACGATCCAGTAGTGAAGTTTCAAAAACTACAATCCAACTGATACGATCCAGTAGTGAAGTTTCAAAAACTACAATCCAACTGATACGATCCAGTAGTGAAGTTTCAAAAACTACAATCCAACTGATATGATC